TAATTATTAAGCGACAAGAAAGCTTCATTAGAACTAATGAAAAGTGCTGAAATGATAATTAAATATAATTAATTTTTATATTCATGTTTTAATAATGTTAATTAATATAATTATTAACTCAATGACATAAGATACATAGTATCGAATTTCCTATACAACAGTTAATGCTTACAATTTTATCATATTATAAAAAAAGCTTCAAATAATAGTGATGTGAAACTCCCGAAAAATATGAACAACGAGGAAAATTCTTAGGAGAAGTGGAAATACAAGGAAACATATTCTTACAACCAGAATGAGACAGTATGTGACTTCTCACCGGACTTATTCAACCTATAAAGCGATGCAATTCTGAGAAAATTGGAAGTCCTAGCGCGATTCGTCATTAGCGGCGACAATCTTGACAACATATGATACGCTGATGACACAGTACTCATAGCAGACACGGAAAATAAATTGCAAAATCTCCTACAGAAGTTAGCGAAAGGGAGCAAGAAGAAGGGCCAAAGCATAAACTACAAGAAGACAGAATGCATGGTCAGCAGTTAAAGGATGAGACCGAAATGCTATTTGCAGGTCGGCGGCAACAAAATCGAGTAGGCGCGGAAATTTAAATATCTGGAGCGTGTTTTCACAGAGGACGGTAAGTGCGATGCTTAGATCCGAAGACTTATTGTGATGACAATAGACGAATTCCAAAACATAGGCAGATTAATACGAGACAGGAAGATTTTTTTTTGGTAACAAAGTAAATAGTGCTGAGTATTGTAAAGATTACCTGATATCTTTCCTCCTTTACGGCAGCGAATGTTGGACGGTCTCCTCAAACATGAATAGACTCGGGGCAACGGAGGTATGGTTCTACAGAAGGGTGGTAAGGATAACAAGGACCGAGCGTGTGATCAACGATGAGGTTTTGGAAAGGATGCAAACAAGGAGAAAGCTTATAATTAACATCAGGAAGAGGCAGCTGATTTTCTGGGACACGTAATGACAAAGTAGGGATTGGAGAATCTGATACTCACAGGTCGAATAGAGTGACAAAGAGACAAGGGAAAACAACGCTTGAGAAACCTAGCGGGTTTAAGCAAGTGTATGACAGAACAGGGCCTACGGAAGTAGCAAAGGGACGATACTTATTGAGAGCTACAAGGGGTAGGGGGAAGTGGAGAGTCAAGATGGCCTACGTCCTGAAGGCACAAAGAAAGAAAGAAAGAACACTTACATGATATACTGAATGTCGATGGGAGTAATTGGAAACAAAAACTAAAACACGTACCGAGTTTATAGGACTAGATGAAAATATATAGACAAAGACATATTGTGAAGTGTCAAAAGTTGCTTAGAGCAAGTAAAATAGGAAGATGTGGAGCGTAATGTTCAATCAAAAAGATGTGTTATTCTTATATTAAAGTATATGAATCTTTACAATACACAGGAAACATGTGGCTTTGAATATGGGCATTTTATTTCCATGCACCCTCTAATCTTTACATTATTACTCTGGATTATCAACGTTGCAGATTTCTGAAACATTTATTGAATGGTAAATATTACATTAATCATGAGGAGGTTAAAATAGACGTAGTCACGTTTTGCTTTTCAACCAAGTGAATGTGATAATAACATGTGCGAATAACTTCCTTGTTCGACGGCATTGTGCCATCGGAAATATAAACATTCATAACTTGATTGAATTTGTAATTAATCTTTAAATATAAGTAATGTTGAAGAGAAATGGTTACAATAATGCACAGAAGATGGTGAAATACAAAACATGGCTTTCTTATGACGCATTTGGATTTTGGTATAAACAACCGGTGAGTCCAAAGGAAACATGCTCTATAGTAGTTTACAACAGATTGTAAAACAGTTTGTTAATCTAAAAAAAAAAAAAAAAAATACGGCAGAAGAATAAGAAGCAGGTCTGCTCACAAAATATAGGGATTTTTGGTTACTATTTCTTTTACGTTTTTAATATCGTTAATCAGATCTTTCTCTCGGCACGACGATTTCCTGAATAAAAAAAAAGTATTGACTTTTTACCGCTTGAGGAGGTGCGTTTCCTGTTCATTATATAAATAATGCACTAAATCGATCCATGTTATTTTCGAAGAGTTATCTTTCCTTTGTTTCTATTCTTTCTTTCACTTTTTCTTTTTTCTATAAATGTCAGATTTGAAACTGAAGATATGTTATTAAAAATTTCAAACTACTGATAATACGCAGTTTTCCAATTTGTTTTTCGATTTTTTAAATAATCTTTAAATAAGTTTTTAACAAGAATTTGAATTTTTTTTTATTTGCGCAGTAATTATTATTTCTTAATTACTTCAGTTTAGAAAGCAAAGGAAATGATTATTATTCCCTTCAAACATTGCAACTGGTCATCGATGTTTTGAAATAAAACTATTTTCCATTAAATTCCAAACAGGTTCAGTTCTGAGTTGCTTAAGGCGAATTTTCAAGAACATTCGTGAAGTTTAAAGAACATTCGAAA